GGCAGTCCCGTCATTTATTATGCATGAGAGTGATGGGAGATTGAATGCACTGATTGTGTCCTTTGGGGCCAGTCACAGGAACCCTCTCAAGCATTCCCCACACCCAGCCTCTGTCCCCGGGCTCCAGGGCTAGCGCCATCCTGATGGGTCTGTCCGGCTGACCCCCGTCTTTGTGGCCCCCGTGGTCCCTGCAGGAAGGAGACCAGCGTTGGATCAACACTGTGGCCCAGGCCTTGCACCTCCTCAGCACTCTCTACGGCCCCTTTCCGAACTGCTACGGGATCGGCAGGTGCGCCAAGGTGAGCGCTGGCAGGGCCCGTTTCACCTGCTCTCCCCCACCGTGGACTGTCCACTGTCCGGGGCATCAGTGACAGGAGGTATATTCTCTTCCTTGCTTTCATTGTGGCAACATAGTCCTCAGAGATGGGAGCTGGTGTGGCTAACAGAGACGCATGAGCTAGGGCTTCTTGGGCAGCATTCCTGAATCTCTCTTTTTTAAAAATTTTTTATTGATTAAGTTGTTACATATGTGTCCTTATCCCCATATTACCCCCCCAACCCCCCCACTCATGCCCTCACCCCCCTGTTGTCTGTGTCCATTGGTTAGGCCTATGTGTTTGCATATAAGACCTTCGGTCTCTCCCCCTCCCCTACCTTCCCTCTGAGATTTGACGGTCTGATTGATGCTTCTCTGTCTCTGGGTCTGCTTTTGCTGAATCTCTTTTTGTTTAAAGTATATTTTTATTGATTTCAGAGAGGAAGGGGGAGAGAGAGAGAAACATCGATGATGAGAGAGAATCATTGATCGGCTGCCTTCTGCACGCCCCACACTGGGGATCGAGTCCAAAACCCAGGCATGTGCCCTGAATGGGATCAAACCGTGACCTTCTGGTTCGTAGATCGACGCTCAACCACTGAGCCACACTGGCCGGGCAGCGTTCCTGAATCTCTTTATCTTTGGAATGGGAATGGACGGGGAGGGATAGGAACAGATGGGGCCAGAGTAGGTAATATTGTTAATTATTAGCTCCCCTCTTGGGATCAGTAAGTCCCAGGGAAAGGGATTGGCTTCTGTAGGGGTGGGGCTACAGGAGGGACTTGGACACAAGATTCAGAATGTCTCTCTTTTTTTTTAGTTTGTTGATTTGAGAGAGAGAGCAACATCTCTTTGGTACTTGGCTTATTTATGCATTCATTGGTCGAACCCACAACCTTGGCATATCGGGACGATGCTCTAGCCAACTGAGCTACCTGGTCAGGGCAAGAATGTCTTGTATGTCTTACAACTGCATGTGAGTCTATAAATATCTCAAAATAAGAAAGTATAATTTTGGCTCAGTCGTTGAGCATCGACCTATGAACCAGGAAGTTACAGTTTGATTCCCAGTCAGGGCACACGCCCGGGTTGCAGGCTCGGTCCCCAGTAGGGGGCGTGCAGGAGGCAGCCGATCCATGATTCTCTCTCATCATTGATGTTTCTCTCTCTTTTTCCATCTCCCTTCCTCTCCCTGAAATCAATAAAAAACATATATAGTTTTTAGCCCTAACCGGTTTGGCTCAGTGGATAGAGCATCGGCCTGTAGACACAAGGGTCCCGGGTTTGATTCCGGTCAAGGGCATGTACCTTGGTTGCGGGCACATCCCCAGTGGGGAGTGTGCAGGAGGCAGCTGATCGATGTTTCTCTCTCATCGATGTTTCTAACTTTCTATCCCTCTCCCTTCCTCTCTGTAAAAAATCACTAAAATATATTTTTAAAAATATATATATATAGTTTTTAAAAGTATAATGAAAACAAAACAAAATTAAGAATTTTTTGGGGGAAAAAAAGAATGTCTTGGTCGCTGGCAGATGTCACATGAATTGTGGAGGAACCTGGAGGAGGAGGAGGACAGTGAAACCAAAGGCCGGAAGCCAGAAATTGGCCACATCTTCCTCCTGGACAGAGGTAACTCACGCTGGCACTCCTCTCTCTCTGGGCCCAGAAGCAACGGGGGTATGACGTGGTGGCACAGGGGGGACCCTCAGGCTGGGCTGTGCATGCAGCATTGGTTGGGGGCCTGGGGAAGGCACTGGCGCTCAGCCTGAGCGACCCGGGCAGCAGGCTGTGGCAGGGCCCTCACGGTCAGGGCTCTGGGTTTCAGACGTGGACTTTGTGACGGCACTGTGCTCCCAGGTGGTTTACGAGGGCCTGGTGGACGACACGTTCCGCATTAAGTGTGGTGAGTGGCATCCTGGCGAGATGGAGGGGCCCTGGGCTCCTGGGCCTCCTGCGTGGCGCGGGGCTGGCGGGGGGCACCCTGGCGCCGAGAGAACTGCGGCTTCAAAACGTGCGGAGGCCCTTTAATGGCAGATCTGGGAGGGGCAGGAGAGGGAAGGCCTGGGGGAGACCCTCATCGCTGTCCCCTTGCTCTCAAAGGGAGCGTGGACTTTGGCCCAGAAGTCACATCCTCTGACAAGAGCCTGAAGGTGCTGCTCAACGCCGAGGACAAGGTGCGGGCGTGGGTGCCGGCAGTGGGGGTCCCTGGGCTCTGCTCCCACACAGCGGGGGCACTGCCCTGGGAGGGGAAGCTGAGTCCACAGGACAGAGGGATCCCCACCAGTTAAGAGCGTACCCCAGGCCCTGGCCGGTTTGGCTCAGTGGATAGAGTGTTGGCCTACGGACTGCAGGGTTCCGGGTTTGATTCTGGTCAAGGGCACCTGCCTCGGTTGCAGACTTGATCCCCCACCTGCGGGAGGGTAGGGGCCCAGTGGTCAGCAAACTGCGGCCCCTTGAGCGTGGCTCTTCCACAAAATACCACGTGCGGGTGCGCACGTACAGTGCGATTGAAACTTCGTGGCCACACTCAAGGGCCAAAGAGCCGCATGTGGCTCGCGAGCCGCACTTTGCCGACCACTGGGTTACGGCATCTCTCACAACATCCATGTTTCTCTGTCTCT